GTGTCAAAAAGTGTATTTCATAGAGTTTCAAAAACTAATGTATTATATGATGAAAAGTTATAATTGTGGTAGTCATTTGACCATGACTACTGGTATATTTTTGCCATGGGTATTTGTAGAAATAGGCATCATGATTCTATTTGAATACATGTGTAGTACATTTGAGAAAATTATTTTGAAAGTTAACCAAAGTTAGTTATCATTTATCTATATAATTTTGTTTTCCTATTAATATTTTATATGAAAATATTAGATGACTGCTTTCTTTTATTATTCACAATATAAGATAAAGGAAGATCTAATTCTAAAATGATCTGTCCTAAGGGGACAGATGCTCAGCTGCCTGTGTGCACCAACTTTTATTTTTCAATTTTATCTATTGTCAAAATCAATATGCTATTTCGAAACTGCCAAATTGGTTCTAGATATCTGAGGAACTATGATTTGGAGAGCAATTCAAGGTCAGTCTTATTAGGAAGTTACTTGAACCAGACAGTCCAAAACCAAAAGTTCTTTAGTAGCCCTTTTGCCTGGTGAAGTAGACTAGGCCCTGCCCACAAATTCACTTGATGTCTTTGATCTTAGTTCCTTACAGAGGGTCATAGGGATATTTCAGGAATTACTTACTTCATCTTTCATCCAAAATCAATATTCTGTGGTCCCTGTAAGTATTTCCTGAGGTTAGCTGGTGGTGATGTGGAAGCATTTTAAAGAAAATTCAAAACTGAGTGAATTCATTTTACAGAAAAAAAAAATATAAAGAAAAATGAAGTAATAGCCGATTTTTGTTTCCAATAGGGGCAAAATATAAGGTACAGAATAAATAGGTTTAAAATAAAATTGAAAACTGTAGATATGATGTGCAGGAATGTTTGAGGGAAGAACTTTTATAGGAAGATGTTGAAATCAGACAATGCAATTTATAAGCCTATGTACTTCCAATTTCTTTACAATTCTGCCTTATTCTGAAATAAACTAAGTCTCTGCCACATAGTTGTACTGCAAATATTTGTGTAATGAATTGGTTAATGGAAAAAATTATTTGGTCTAGCTCATTCAAACTAAGATCTTTCTTGTAGTAGAAAGTTGCCTTACCTCTCTTCCAGGCTGTGTATTTTTTATTCAACTCATTTTAGAAAGCCTACTCTGCTATACCTACAAATATCATCACTTATTATTTTTTACATAAAATCTTTACATGACCTGGTAGAATTTTTTACCACTTAACACACCTAAATGTGGAGAAGTGAAATGCCCCTGATGACTTATTGCTTCAGCAAAACCACCTTAGCCTCCTGAGGCCAAGAATGTTGTATAATAAAACAAAGGGAATATTTAAGTTTACTTCCTGCAAAAATATTCTTCCCTTTATGTAACATAATTAGATCAGTAGCCATTTGTCTAATTGTCACTCTGTTATTATGGCTCTTCAAAAGGACTAAATTGTTGTCTTTTGTAACCCATTGTTCATTCAGTAGCATATTATTTAGTCTCCAGAGGTTGGATTAGCTTTTATTTTTTATTTTATCATTGATTTCTAATTTCATTCCATTATGATCTGATAGAATACAGGGTAGTTTGTTTACTTTTTTTTATATTTGCTAAGAGTTGCTTTTTGGCATAATATATGGTGTATTTTAGAGAAGGATACATGTGCTGCTAAGAAGACACTGTATTCATTTGTTGAAGGATGAAATGTTCTATATATGTCAGTTAAGTCTAAGTTATTGATTGTATTATTGAGGTCTGTAGTTTCTTTGGTCAGCTTGTTTTTGGAGGATCTCTCCAGTGGTTAAAGAGGTGTGTTAAGGTCACCCAGAATTATTGTGTTGTCGTTTGACTCTTGAGAAGAGTTTGTGCAATGAATGTAGATGCTCCATTGTTTGGGGCATATATATTTATTATTCTTATGTCTTGTTGACAAATGGTTCCCTTAAGCAGTATGAAATATCCTTTATCCCTTTTGATTAACTTTGGCTTGAAGTCTACTTTGTTTGATGTGAGGGTGGAAACCCCTGCTTGCTTCTGCAGTCCATGTGAGTGGTATGATTTTTCCCAACCTTTCACTGTCAGTCTGTGGATGTCTCTTCCTATGAGATGAGTCTCTTGAATGTAGCATATTGTTGAATCTTTTTTTTTTTTTTTTTGTAATCCAGTCTGTCAGTCTATGTCTTTTGGTGGTAAGTTTAGGCCATTAACATTCAGGGTTATTATTGAGAGATGATTTCTATTCCCAGCCATTTTTGTTTACTTTTGGTATTTAACTTGACTTGGTTTCTCCTTTGATTAGTTTTTCCTTTAGTGTAGTACCTCCCTCTGCTGATTTTCATTGTTATTTTTCAATTCCTCTTCATGGAATATTTTGCCAAGGATATTCTGTAGTGTAGGCTTTCTACCTATAAATTCTTTTAACTTTTGTTTATCATGGAAGGTTTTTATTTTATCATCAAATCTAATGCTTAATTTTTCTGGATATAAGATTCTTGGTTGGCATCCATTGTCTTTCAGAATCTCCTGGCTTTGAGGGTCTGGATTGAAAAATCTGCCGAGATACACATTGGTCTCCCCCATATATGATCTGATTCCTTTCTCTTGTGACCTTTAAGATTCTGTCCTTATTCTGTATGCTAGGCATTTTCATTATAACGTACCTTGGTGTAGATCTGTTGTAATTTTGTACATTTGGTGTCCTGTAAGCCTCTTGTATTTGATTTTCCAATTCATTTTTTATGTTTGGGAAATTTTCTGATCTCATTGAAGAGATTGTGCAACTATCCCACTCCTAGGTCTATACCCAAAGGACTTAAAAACAGCATACTACAGGGACACAGCCACATCAGTGTTTATAGCAGCACAATTCACAATAGCTAAACTGTGGAACCAATCTACATGAAAAGAAAATGTGGTATATATACACAATATATATTATTCAGCAATAAAAGAGAATAAAATCATGGCATTTTCAGGTAAATGAATGGAATTAGAGGATATAATGCTGAGTGAAGTTAGCCAATCCCCAAAAAAACCCCAATGCTGAGGGTTTTCTCTGATTTAAGGATGCTGATTCATAATATGGTTGGGGGAGGGGGACATGGAAGGATTAGATGAACTCTAAATAGGGCAAAGGGGATAGGAGGGAGCAGGGGCTAAGAAAGACAGTGGAATGAAATGGACATCATTACCCTAAGTACATCTATGAAAACATGAATGGTGTGACTCTACTTTGTGTACAGAGATGAAAAATTGTGCTGTATATGTGTAATATGAATTGTAATGCATTCTGCTGTCATATATAACAAATTAAAAAAAGAAAAAAGAAAACCCATAGAAAAAAAGGACTAAATTGTTACCTGATGGACTAGGTCCAAAAGATCTTTCCAGAAAAGATCTATACCAAAGAGATCTTTTCAAAGAGATCTTCCACTAGGATCTCTTCTGGAAAGATATTTTGTAGCAGTTCTTTGTGGCACAGATCTTGCTCTTGCCACTGAGTGCTAGGAAACTGTGTAGCTTGAAGATCTGCCCAACACACATCACTCAGATTAGACTGGACCTAAGAGAGAGCATTTCCAATTGGATTAAGAACCATAAAAAATTGTATTCAAGGACAAGGCAAATGCATTATTTTTTAACATTCATCTTTACGAATTTTATTCTGAGCACATGTACAAGGTGTTCTGAGTCATATTTCTTATTCTATCTGCCCCCTTTGCCCTGGTTTTCCACCCTTGGTTCCGTTTACTGGCCGCCAGGTCAGTTGTCCTCAACTAGTAATTGCAGATACAGAGGTGAAGCATGAGGAATTTTTCTTTTTCTTCTGTTAAGTGGAAGGTGGCAGCTGTGGATATTTTTCCTTGAAAATTTTATGGGCCTGAATCCTTATCTGAGCCCTTGGGGATATTGGTAGAATTTTCCCAGGAGCCAAATAGCCCCTTGTGTCTTGGCTTTTATTACCTAGAGATGCCTTCTGGTTCTGGGTCTTCATATCTTTCCATGTGCAATATCTAGGGAGATATCTTCCTTTAACTAGGGACCTTGTTCAGCCCTGGACAGTTCAGCCCTGTTGAGCAAACATAATAGGAGTGTTATTCTCCTTTCAAAGTAGAGCAGTTAGGTAGAAGAATGGTTGCTCATCGAAGTTTCATGTTATATGAAGAGAAGAGTATTTTTGTAGGAAAGGAAAATGAACATTCCCTTGATTATATGATTTTCTTGGCCTCAGGAAGCTAAGGGTTTTGCAGGAGCAGTAAGTCATCACGGATATTTTCTTTCTGCACATTTAGGTGTTTTAAGTGGGAAGAAATTCTACAAATCCATGTAAACATTTTATATAAAAATAATAAGTGATAGTTTATGGAGATGGAATAGAGCAGGCTTTTAAAATGAGTTTTGGAAAAAAAATAAACATCAGGGAAGAAACTAAGCTAATCATAGTATAATTAAAACAGCTGCATTTGGGAGTCCCTCCTATGTTTAGAACCTCAGACTCTTTCAACCTATGCAGAAGACCCATTTCTAGAAATATGTCAGTTGGATATTTGGAAAACATATTTGAGCTGACTTTGGCTTGGCATAGATTGCTGAATCCTCCTGATGATTTGTTCTATTCAAACTTGTATGAGAGTAAAATAATGTAAGTTTTTGTGTGTATGCCAAAGGAAACAGGGGTACAGGAAATATATTTGTGCTAGGGTTTTTGAATTGGGAGCTTTTTTAAACTTATTACCTTCTTTGGTATTTATCTATTGAAGAAGATAAATATTGGCTGACAATGTATCTGAGTTGAAGAATGGGTTGCGTCTGCAGAGTTTGCCTCAATCATATAGTATTGAAACTTAGAGTGTATGATCTGACATCCTATTCACTGTGAAAATAGTCTTGCTTGTTTTTCATTTGGAATAACTTAGTATTCTCTCTAGTTCTTATAGTCATAATTTTAAAGTTTATTAAGTAAATGTACTGGTCTGGTTCCTTACATGCAACAAACTGTTTTCTTTCAGGTTTTTGCCTGAATTCATCAATGGAGACTTTGATTCCATCAGGCCTGAAGTGCGAGAGTTCTACAGTGTTAAGGTAAACCGTGAACACGTTCATAGCCAAGATCTTTCTCATATAATTGCTTTTACTGTGTTCATTCTGATCTCGTTGGTCTGTAGACAGGGATTGAGAAATTCATTGTTTAGCTACTTTCATACTGTTTTATTATAGAAATTGTAATATATATCTAGAATCGAAAGTTTTAAAATGACACATGAAAACTCAATCTTAGAGAAATTCTATCACCATCAAATAGGCATTTGATCAATCATATAAAGGCATATATTTTACATGAGCTTGTAGTTTACATAAACTCATATAATAGAATTCTATTGTTGTCTATAGTCCTCAAGTTATTATATATTTTTCACAAATAATCCTTTTAGTTTTATTTAACATATAATCTATTTTTTCTTAACTGATTATCAGTTGATACACATTTGTGTCTATTTTTTGCATTATAAACTACTAAAATATTTTCATATATAATTATGTGTTCCTAGAAACTTAGAATGAAAGTTTTCCCTACAATGTTTAGTTTTCTTGATACTTGTTACTCTTTTCTGAATAAAACTATTCAATACAATTTATTAATAGCCTATGATCATCAAGGTGTTCATTTTGTCACTATTGTGAAAATCTTCCAGTGATCCTTGTCATATAAGAATATTTATGTGATATAATTGGGGATGATAGAATCTCATAGAAGTGCATTAAAGTAATTAATAATTCAAGGTATCACAGGGTTTTGAAGGCAATGCAGTGTTTTTAAAGGAAAAATTACAGCGCTACTGATTCTTCTATCTGAAATACCATCATCAGTGTTATTCTAACCTGAGACTGGCAAATTATACATTTTTTAAAAAGGAATAGCAGGCATTGAGATTATAATACTTAAATTCTTTATAAGGCTTGGGGAGACATGAGACAAATTTAAAAAGAAAACCTAAGAGTCCATTTTTAGAAAGGAAGGAGAGAGGGAAAGATGAATGTAAGTATAAGGAGAAGTAAGAAAATAAGGAAAAGGAGAGAAAAATACCTTGATTGTAGCTGGGAAAACAAAGGTTCCCTGGTAATGTAGTATAGGCTGTTGTGAGGCACAAATTCTGGGGTTGGCAGTGAATGCAGATCAGTGCCTATTCCATCTGCCCACCAGCTGATCAGACTTTCCTTCAGCAAATGAAGACTGTTCCCAAGTCAGTGTTTGATATTCATGCTCAATTACCTTAACATTGGCATGTTCCTATTCATTCCCCACAGTCTCACTTCTCATTAACTCCATACCTCCACCTCGTTGGGATGGAAAGCCTCAGCCTTGCTTACAAGGCAGAGTTTTGCAAATGCATAGATATTAATCATATTTTCGGGAGCAGAGGCAACAGCGGGGGAGGCAGGGATAAGCATAGTCAAAAACAGGTTGAAGATCTGGCCAGATGTGACTTATCTCCCTGGCTCTTAACGCCACTGGCTTGTCAAAATTGGTGGCACCAATCTGATTATTTGTGTTCAGAATGTGGGCACAAGGGAGGCCGGTCTTTTATTTCAGGATGCAGTGAAGTGGGGATAGGGTGAAACCAAACTTCTAAGTTAATACCTCATCATAAACTTGTATTCCTTTGCTTGTTTTTAGCACTAAAAATAAATTCACAGTTGTTAAAGGTTAGTTTGCAATGTAAGGTTTAGCCGAGTCTTCTGATTTCTAAACTGCACCGTTCAGGGTAGGTATAGTGTAGTTCAGTTTGCTCATGTGAACTGACTGTTTTTGAACTTTAGGGCATGTTCCTAGAGGGCACAGATGATGTCTTTTATATAGTTAAATGTGTCCTACAGAGCTCATGGTGAGTGTTTGGCTGTAGCTTTAATAATGATGATCATTACAAGTTAATGCAACATTACACACAATTCTTACAAGCCATTATCTCCAACTTCAACAGTCTTTAAGCTTCTCTTTCAAAAATAAGGTTGTCTCCCACTTTCAGATCTTCCCTGCTCCCAACCGGATCTGGGTCTCTAGTGAAGAGAGTGAAATGAAAGAAGAGATTTAGAAAACTAAGTTGGCTAAAGTCATAAGGTGGACTGCGGAGTCGGCATGTATTTATGTGCGGTGTTGGCTTTGGGACTGTCTTGCAGTCCTTAATTGACCCTCTACAGCCTCCTTCCAGGTAGCTGTAAAGTCTTGGACCCTCTTTCTCTTTTGTCTCTTTGTCTTATTTGTTCTCTGCTGGTTCACTGTTACGAGAGGAATGTCTCTTAGAGCTGTACACTTTGTTATTTTATGTTCATTTTTCTAGGTCATTCAATGTTTCTTTAATTCAAGACTCAATTATCTATTTCAGTCTTAATAATTATTCCACCCATGATGTTTCCATATATTTTAGCTTACTGGAAATGGGAAGAGAAACTGTCCTACGTCATCGAACTAACTCCTGATACTCTCTCTGCTGGATAGTTGGCAAGGCCTTCACTAGGAAGGGAGTTTTTGAGTATGCTTCTTTAATATTTAAGAGATTGAGGAACTCATTGCAATATTTAGATAACCCCTTAAAAAGTTGTGGAATGACAATTTTTTTTCCATAAGTGAGGATAATTAGGACTGGAGATAAATATGTTGTAAATGTAATAATAAAAAATATAATTTAAAATATGATAAAAAAAAAATTAAACAAATTGTCAGCCTTATTTCCTAATGAGGATGTTAAGGCCCCAGGAGCTGAAGGCTCCTGAGTGAAATGGTAGAGCTGACAGCTGTGGGATCCGTGTCCATGCTGTTTGTGAAAAGACTGTTGCTGGAATTTGGATTTCTCAACAGGTAGCACCTTTGGCTTTGGGGGGGAACAGTTGTGCTTGCATAATTGTTAGCTTCTCTGGGAATGAATGCCCCTGTCACCAACAATGTGATAGGAGTCTATGTGGTGACCAAACACTCTGCCTTCACATTTCCATTATGCCTTGTACCACCCTCAATTCTGGAGCAATAAGGCTAAGGTGCTAGTTGGGCCAGACCCCAAATGGCCAAAAATCTAATATTGGTAAATTACCTAAAGGCAGGATCACAGGATGATATTTAAGCTGTATCACAGGATGTAGGTTGAGCTGTCATATATCATTGAAGAATTGAGATGATCTGGTAGTAGGCCATTAGCGTGGTGACAGTAACACCCTTTAGATATGAGAACGCCTGCCTTTATACCCCACGGGGGTATTTTGGCTTTCCATTAGAGTTCTTCTATCAACACAGGCTGTGTTCTGGACAGAGTGGTGAGAGGACTCTCATCCTGAGAGGAATAAGACTCTAGGCTCAGCCTCTGATTTTAATCTTCTCTGTTCATTCTCCCAACCTGGAAGAACACTGTATGGTGTCAAAACAATGGCCAAGAATATTGGACCATGGTGCCCAAAGAACGGCAACTACAGAGATGACCAGAGACGACCAACTCAGGTGTAACGGGGAGTGGGGCTAGCAGGACTCAGTTGAGGCTCAGCTCCTTCTTTTCTAGTACAGACATCACAAGGTTGGTCCAGGCCACCAGGTGATTCCAGCACTGTATAAATTAGAAGAGCTGAGACAGAAATCCAGGCTGGTGATTGTTACCTGTTTTTATTTCTCTGAATCGGGAAAATAGAAAAGTTTTAAAGCAAATGACATGAATGTGTTTTATTAAGCCAGTGTTTCCTGATGATGGTTTCTCATTGTCATCTAGACCATACCTAAGTTTTTGAAGCCTTTTCTCAATGGGCAAGGATAGATTATCTAACATTTTAACCCAGTGCTCCCTTTTATAAATATAAAATGCTGTAAAGGTGCCATCTGAAAGCTGAAAATGGTTCATCAGTTTACATTTTCCATACTGACTGTTTCCTGTGTAAATGTGTTGCAGTTACATTTTAGGAAACTGGAGATTTGGTTTTAAATACAATTTTCTCAGTCAAAATAATCATAAATTGGCTTCCAATTGACATTTAGATAGAATGACTTTTTTCATAAATGGATTACTGATGAAATTTGTATTTTAATTACAATTAAAAGAGAGGATACTGATTCTTGAGTGATGAGGGTAGGAGGGTAGAAAATGGAATTGGGGGGACGGGTAATTATGACTGTCAAATAACTAAGACTTAATCCTGGCTATCAATTTGTACATTTTAATTTTTTCTTAAGTAATAGAGTGACTGTTTTCTTCAACTACAAATTATTTTTTGAGTTGTTAGTTTACATACATACAAGCCTTATTTCCACATGTTTTCTGCCCCTAATTTTCTCATCTTCATGTAGTAATGATCAAACCGTGGTATGTAAGTGTTCTGGAAATACAAAGGCACTATTTTAAGTTGGCAGTATTTTGTTTTACTTTCTGAAATTATTTGCTTATGAGATTTTTAATATCTTTTGTTTCTCATGTTTTAAAAAATTTTTAATCAGTTCATCTTCACAATGAATTTATGAATATAATTTCAATTCATAATCAGAATCACTTGGAATATCCTTTTGAATTTGACAAAGCCTTGAGTTTGATTCTATTTAAATTTTCACAGAATGTCTGCAGTTGAAAACATCTGCGTTGATCTACCTCAACTCACAAATTCTATTATTTTCTATCTTCTGTGCTCTTTTCCAATTCTTCCTAGCTACATGCCAATAATTTTTAGATATGGCAAAATAGTTAATTTAGAGAGAATGACAAATTGTGTTATTAGCAATTATAAAAATTTAACATTTTGATTATTATGCAAATCAGAAAAAGCTACAAAATATTTAAAGTTCAACTCCATATATTTGTATATCTCTTTTCAAAACAAAATAAAACGAAAAAAGAGAGACAAAAAATTCAGAGCCTCATAAATCTTTAGGCTTAAGCCTGAAGACTAATTAACATGAGCTGAGATATAAAGCTGTTGTTCAGGGAATTATGGACAGGCAGTTTCCATCGACAGCTGAGTGACAGATTCTTCACTTTATATTCTTAAAACTGGCTGTCTAACCTTTATTAGCATCTCACCAAGGGAAGGATGAGACTTCCAGGGGAACATTATGTGAA